AAAGCCGAGCTATATAAAATTATCTGGGAAAATCTTGGCATAGTGGCCATGCGGGTAACAGTAACACCAGGTGGGATGCTGTGCCCCAAGCTTGGGTCAGTCTGGTTCTTGTTATTGTTGCGGTCGGGTGTGCGCTGCGTATTTCTCCACATTTGTTCTCTGCTTGTGCTCTCCCTCAACAAATATCATTGATATGGCATCTGCACGTTCAAGGAGCTTTACTGTAGGAAGGGCATGAAACTCAAGTTCCTGAGTCTTCACAAGAAAACTAAAGTGTTAGACCGAGTTGATGCTGGGGCATTCATGCGTATTATGTGTGAGGAGTTTAGGATCAACTCCAGCACATTTTACAACAAAAAAAGATTTGAGAGCACTTTTTAAGGTTAGAGGACCCTGGCAGCTCAAAGGAAGTACAAAAAAGAATTAAGCCTGCAAAGTTTACAGATTTAGATAAAGCTGTTTACAAGTGGTACAAGCAGGAACATGCATCTGGCATCAATGTCCATGGCATGGACATTCAAAATGCCACAGCTCGCTTAGCACAACACCTTAAGATACAAGGCTTCAATGCAAGTGATGGTTGGGTTTTCACTTTTAGAAGCCGTCATTGCTTAGTTAACCGGAAAGTTGTTGGTGCGGACAAAGTGTTGAACCCTTCATTGTCTTGTGAAAATTATTGAAGACGCTCGGTTATTGGTCAGGCAGATATATAACGTTAACAAAACAGGCCTTTTTTGGAAGGCTCCACCAGGCTTACAGGTACGAGGCACATGTAGCAGGCAGGAAGATGGCAAGGGACTGGATCTGGACTCTTGTCTCTGCCAATGCTGACATCACCCACTGGCTGAAACCGATGGTTGTGGGAAAGGCAAACAAGCCCCGGGCTTTAAAAGAAATATCATGAACAGCTTACCAGTGATATACAAGGGGAATAAGACTGCCTGGTTCACTCAAGACATCTTCCACTCCTGGTTTCACAGCCATTTTGTACCTGTCATCATCAAGTATCAGATGGAAGTGCTGGGTATTTCTAGGGATAATGTAAAGGCCATCCTGCTCCTCGACAATGCCCCTGCACAGCCTGCCTTGGAGGAGCTTGTGGGACATGATCATCATATCAAGGTCATGTATTTTCCACCTAACTCCACCACCTTAATACAACCAATGGACCAAGGAGTGATAGAGGCCTGCGAGCAACTCTATAGGTACAGGTTAGACTTTGCTAATCTGGGAAGCTTGACTGGTTCCGAAATAGCAAAAATTCCAAACCACTGAAGCCAAGGTTAAAAAAAGGCAAAATAATGCATAAAATGTACTATTACTGGTACCAAGACAACTTACATCAGCATAAATCTAGTCCAGGCTTACTAGACCTCTTTATGACAAAATATTAGTGCTATGGGACACGTTTACTGTACACTGAAAATAACTTGCATTGCTGGAATTCTTGCAAGATACCAATTAATTTGAGTGTAAACATCCAATAGTTTGCACTAGGTAGTAGGCAGCTATCAAACAGGGAGGTATTACCACCCGAGAAGATATTGGAAGCATAATGGGTCGCCATATATCATCACAAAAATTGGGACCACGTCCCAGGTTGCTAATCTGACTTTCTGCCACATTTACACACAATTGCAGGGTTTCAGTTGTTTTTCTTACTATTGACAACACAACAAACATACTGTATATCATTTCTCACCTTGATTTATTTTTTCGTTTTTGTATTCATTTATGGTTATTATTATTTTTATAATTTGTATATTATTATTATTATTATTATTATTATTATTATTATTATTATTATTATTATTATTATTATTATTATTATTATTATTATTATTATTATTATTATTTATTATTATTATTATTATTATTATTATGCCCCCCTCCCAGACCCTGAAGTGGGTCAGTGACCTGTGCTCGGGTGGACTAATCCCCATAAAAAAATAAAGTAATTAACTTGGTACATTTGAGTATAAGTTGTCATAATTGTAATTATTTTACCACAACTTTTATAACATTATTGTTGACTTTTAGTAGTTGTGGAACATATTCCAATTTTTCCCATCAAAGCTGCCGAATTGGCGGGGTTCAACCTGTACAAGTATCAGGGAGAATGCCTTGTGGTGTTGGAGGACGAGGGTGACATGGAGGTTGATATGAGGGGGGCTTGCACTTTAGAAAATCACAAAGCCCACAGCATCTGTATTGCAGTGTTTAACTGGGCAGAGGCATGGAAAAGCCTTAGTGTAACTACCCTAACAAATGCGTGGAACAAACTTTTGAAAGACACAGAGGTCGAGGTCGACTTTCCAGAGTTTGGCACTGTCGATTTTGTTAACTTGCTACACCGAAGTGGTGAGACTGGCGTGTCTGAGGACAATGTTGCTGAGTGGCTGGAGGTAGACAAAGCAGAACAGGGATTTCGTCACGATACAGAGAAGGAGATAGCTGCTAGTGTGTCTGACAAAAGACAAGAACAAGATGACGGAGATCCCAGTCCACGGCCAAATCTGTTTGATCTAGGATTTTATTTGGACAAGGCCTTGAGGCAGTTGCCTGACCTAAAGAAATGCTATACAACTATTAGAAACATCAGGGCAGATGTCATAAAATGTCAACACACCAACTTCAAGCAAGAGAAAATATGACTTCTTTAATGTCGAGGGTCTCAAGAACCAGTTGACCTTCCTTCAGCAGTGAAGCCTCTTTAATGATACCTTCAGTATCAGGATACTCTTCCTCAGACATCACTTCCAGCAGTGCCAGTTTCCTACACAGTATTTCCCCAGAAGTGCCATTTGTCTTGCTGTCATCTGACAGTGAGTGATTGTATAGTGTACTCTACATCTCGGTGTTAACGTAGTATTTAAGTGAAAATATTGTACAGTACAGTAAGTCCTTGATATATGCGAGTTCAGCATACGTGAATTCACTCGTATGCAAAGACCCTATTCCTACCAGGAATTCAATTAATGCGAGCAAAATTCAGCCTTATGCGAGATGTCATACTCCCTGATATGGATTCCAACCATGATGACTGCAGATGTCACTCCAACACCATCACTCACTATGTAAAACCTCTACTGCCACCTCCATCATCTTGTCTACCCAAGTTGATGTATCTGCTTTTGTTGTCAAGTACACTGTACTGCACACTTGCTTTATCTATTATCTTAAAAATAATATTGTATTGATTTGTTTTATGGTTCATATGTCTTGAAAATGGGTCTGGAACATTTTAATTTTGGGTTATGGAACTTTGTTTACAGTGGAGTGAACATCGAGTTTTTTGGTCTCTTGAATATTTTTGCATTTTCACATTAAAATTATTGGTCATTCTAAAATCTAGTTAACATATTGATAATATACAGTGCAATAATTATTTTGAAACATGAAGAAGGCATTAGAACCAATGCACTCTGTAAAGAATATGGCATGTCATCATCGACTGCCTGTACAATCACCTGTTTGATATGTAAAAAAGCTGCCAGGAATATGACATACACACCCCAAAGTAAGTCAAAATACAGTATTCTAGTATTTTTTATTTATTATTGTACAGTATACTGTACAGTACAGTACTGTATTTAGTTTATATTTAATGTTTTGTTAATTCTATTACTGTACTGGTATACAGTACTTTGTATGTACTTTTTCTGTGAGTTGGAGCCAATTACCCAATATCACAATGAAATAATAGATTCAGTTAACAAAATTTTTGGTTAACAACCGACTGTGGAACTAATTGTGTTCGTTAATCGAGGGACCACTGTATATCGATTTTGTGATTGCCCTTATGACAATTATTTCTTAAACTTTTTTTTTCACAATGTTTGTAGGATGGTGTGTGCATGTAACTAAGTAAAAATAATTGGAAGTTACGTATATCTGCCCGAAAATACGAGTTGAAAGATAACCATAACCTCACAGCTTGGCCCAGTAGCCTGGTGGTTACAGTGACGAGTCTAACTTGGCTACAATGCCACCAGCGGTGTTAACAGATGCAAATGTGAAAGGAAAGTTATATGTAAATCTTCATTTGTATCAGGTATTTGTAGGTTTAAAAATAAATGTTGCAGGTATGACATTAATAGATGTTAATGCGTGTAAGAGTTCAGAAATAGTTGCTGCTTAGCTACCCCTGAAGAGTTGGGGGTCTGCCGTATAAACATTAATCGTCTTGGGTTATCATCATCAGTACAGTAGTTGTAAACCCAGATTTTATATTTACAATAATTTTTTTGATTAATTAAAAATAATAATAAGTGTGTATAAGTAAGCAATAACATATTTTTAATTCTGGAGTTTGGTTAGGTAAAATTTAATCAACTGGAGACAGCAGCTAAGGGGTTCACTAGCTTACGAAAGACCTCAACTTCACATATATGGTGCATTTTTTCAGACAAAAAAGTGCATCTTATATTCCATAAAATATGGTACAGGTGGGGGGTGGGGGGTTACTTATTTTATTGTGGTAAATATTTATAAAGGTTAATCTTTCTTTCATATGCAGCTTAACTAAATTTAAGCCCATTCTATTATTTCCATTTCTCAAGGTGTTTAGATACCATGTTAACTGTATGTGGAGAAAGTCAACAATCATTTGACTTTAGTTTTAGTATCATTTCTGAAAATCTTTTTCTATTCTGCATAATTTTGAAGAAACAGTGTAATTACATAATAGGCTTCAATGAAAGGTTATTAATAGAAGAAAATATTTGATTATGCTTAGAGACATTGACTGCATTGAAAACCATTTCATGAGTAAATTTGCATGTATGCTCTAGTCCACATGATGTGTCCTCAATTACTTTTAAATTATCAAAATGTCTTCCATTTTTATAGGCAATATAGTTAAAGTTGTAGGGATATATTTTATTTGAGAAAACAAAAATAGTGAAACTCCATCCAGCACGATTTCATAGTTCCTTTAAACTTACATTTAGTAAATGTATAGTACAATAAGATGTGGTTAAACATTTGTTTCATAACAGAGGTAACACCTTCAGAGAATACCTACCAGAATTATCCTCCAGACAGACCAAATGGCCATCGACGCGATGCATCAGAAAATATGAATGGAGACGGTAAGTCGTCAGTCTGTTTTAGCAGCTTTTTGAAAATTTTCCTTAGTCATTTTTATGCATTGAAGAGAAGCTTTGTAGACTATCAGTTGCATCCACCAGCTGTCTGTTTATTAATGTAATTAAAGAAAGATGTGATTAAAATTATTTGTATAAATATTCTGTACATTCCACAAAGATATATGATCAATATGTACTTTGCTGAACAAATACTAATTATTCTTGATGGAAAACAATTGTTATAGAGAACATTTCACAAATAGATATGTGGGTTTCAGTCTTGCATACTGTGTGTTTATCCTTTGAGGACAGTGATGACAGCTCGTGGTCATAGCCCACTGGATGGGGTAATATAAAAAAATTAAGAAAAATCTTTGAAACCTTTTAATCTTCTCATAAACTCCTGGTTTACACCATTGAAATTCTGGGGAATCACTCTAATTCCATATTGGAGCTTCATGAGTGGATGCATGGCTTGTGGAAGCTATCCAACTACCACCAGCATATTCCTCATCTTAGATTATATGCAGTCTGCCTTTCATCTTTCAGTACTTGGTTGTTTTTGGTACTTAGAGCTGAAAGTATCATTTGTGCTCATTTTGCTTCTGGTACAGGTACCTGACCATTTAACCACCAATTTTGGAACATGAGGTGAATCGGTTTCCTGGATTTGGCAGAATTCTGGTCCTAAGCCTAGTACAGTAGAAGCCCGATTATCCGGCACCTATGGGGATTGAGAGGTGCTGGATAGAGATATTTTCTGGTTAGTTGAACCTCACTCTTAGGATCCCCAATAAATCTTAAAATGTACAGTGCTACAGGCTGACCCTGCAAATTTGTGTCAGAAAAATGGACTTTTTTAACACTTACTCGACTCTAAATAAACAATGTGGCTTAGAAGTAAAGCAGTTATAATATAAAACTATTAAATAAGAAAAATGCAAAGCATGGGTGTGTATGTGAGGGACATGAACGTGTGTTGAGGTAGTGGGCTATAACTGCATCGCCGACTCGCCAGCCCAGCTGCCTCATACAGTATATTGTTACATGTAATGAAACTATAAAAGTTGTATGCCTGCCTGACAGAACTGTGCGTTGTTGCCCAGAGGATGGCTTGAGTGTGGAAGGAGCTATTTTGTACATGATATGTGCTATTGTACAGGTAAACCTCCGATAACGACGGTTCGACCAACGACTATTCATATTTAAGACCCTTGCTCAAAGAAGCTGCCGGACAAGGGAAGCTGCTGGGCTAATGAGTGGTAATGCGCATCACCAGTAAACAAGAGTCGGAGCTTGGTGGTCCCTTTGTTTTCATGCATCTGAACAGGAACAGGAACAAGAAAAAAAAACTTTCTCAGGTTTCTTACAGCACTTTTGAGTCCCTATTCAACCTGAGCAAGTGAGAGCTGGTTCAAAAGCTAAAAGAAAATGTTAAAAATTTATGAACATTTACTAAAAACCTAAATCTTAATGTGCAACATAAATCTTTATTGCTTCATAAATATTAAAAACATAGGAAAATAAACCAAGAAGGTAAATCTTATTCAAGATTCATGATCGAAATTCAGCTATCTGTGAGGCTGTTAGAAATTTTTTGACCGAATATTGGCAGATGCGCATCTTCTTGCACACACTCCCTGGTTAGGCAGTTCTCTCATTTGTGATGCACTGTCCTCCCCTTCTCTTTCCACCCAGTAAATGGACACGAGAAAGGAGGTTGCTGTAGAGCCCCAATATTTTAGGTATCGGGTGCTATATATTGCACCACAGAGTATCTAGAACACCAGAATTAATATTCAGCACTCCCTGGTAAAATTTGTTAACAAAGCAGTTACATTGCTACTGGTGGCAGACACGTGAATGTTGGTGTTCAATTGCATTCCGGTTGTTGGACTAAATCAGAATTTTTACTGATCAGGACCAAAGGAGACAAAAGTTCAGATACCTGGAAGATTCAGAAACTTGGAATTTGGATAAAAAGATATGCACTGTAGATTAAATAAAGGCTACAACATGCAGACTGCATACCGTGTCATGACATGAATGGGGGAGGTTGACAAACAACTTTTATTGGAGCTTCATTTGTGCTAACTTCTGACTAAATTTATGATTCATGTACCGGTAGTTACTTGGTTAAATAAGTTAAGGACTTGGCTGAAATTGTTGGATAGCTAGAAGTGGATGTTGAAGAGGTGTATGTATTGAATTATATCTTCAATGAAAGATGACAATTTTTATGAAGGACAAATTTGAATTACCTTTACAAAACATAATACCCAACTGAAGTATTATAGAAATCTTAATTTTATTTTTTGGAATGTACAGATTATTTTGTGACGTGTTACAGTTTCTCTCCATAAAATGATCAGGTACAGACCCTCAAATCTGGATTTCAGGAAATTGGAAATTCTCAAAACCCGGACATTTTCTTCTTCTGGTTAGATTAAATTTTGTTCACTGGGTCACCATTCTGTTAGCTTAGACCCACCAGCAGGCTACATCAAGTTTTACTTCCAGACACTCGCACAGTTTCAGTTGAATGTTTATAATAATGTGGAAACAAAACTTGACATAGCTAACTGGTTGGTATAATGGGAAAAGATGGTTGACCTACAATCCCAGGAAACCAGAAAATCCTTAAAAAAAAAAAAGTTTGGTGGTTGGTCCCAAGGGTCCCAGATTTGAGGGTCTGTACTTGTACTAGTGTCTATAGATATGTTGTTTTGTTGTAGATAAATGCATGAATCTCACATATGATAAAGGTTTTGAAAGTTGTTAGTTAGTCAATTTGCTTTTTCACTGTTAGATTCAGGGTAACGCAAATTTATACATGTTTAGAGAATTGCATAATCAGTTCTTAGCTTGGAATGTTCTCTGACCAGCATGAAATATTACTTTTCTCCATCAAAATGACAAATATTTTGCATTAATGTTTCAGACTGATTTTGTCTGATTTCTCATCTTAAACTTGATGACCTGTCAAAGAGCTTATTGAGTATCTTTGTTTTTGTCTTCCATACTTTTTTCTTCTAACCCAAACAAGCATTTTGTTCACCTACATAGAGGCAATACTTCTGGACTTGTTTTTTACTTCATGTCTGCAATCTCGCACTTCAAAGATAATTTTTTATTGAATTGATACATGCTGTACGTAGAAACAATTAATAAACTGCATACTGTTGAATTACAATCATTGTGAACATCTTTTGATAAGAGTTGAAAACTTATGAAATTACCTTAATACAGTACAGTATAAGCATTGGTGAGTAGCACAAAATGAAAAAAATAAATTACTGTTTCTGGTTGCAGAATTATTCCAGTTTGACTTAATTGTGCAGCCCTACTTAATGATTTATTCTAAAGAGTGATTAGATATTAACCCGTATGTCGCCGCAACATATTATAATTAAATGACACGCCAGTGCTGGTCAAATGTTTTTTTTTGTTTTTATTATTATTATTATTATTATTATTATTGCAGAAATTAACTCAAAATGGTAAAAAACTATGTAAAACATAAAAATTCTAATTATTGAGCTCTGGCAATTGAAATAATGGAGCCTCTTGGGTGTGACTTTCGTCCATCACCATGGGAATGGCTCACACTGACAGTCCCTTCATAGTACAGTACAATTATTCATTGTGATGTTGCCACATCATGTACCTTCTTTGTACAGTATTGTATATATTCTCAGTGACACTGTATGATCTATTTTAGCCTGCAGCACACAATGGTGATCACAGAGACACTTGTTATACAGGTATACATTATTATCGTATATCACGAAATCTAAATAATTATTATTGTAATGGTTTAGCAAGCAACTCGCACACATAAGTCAGCCGGTCAGTGATGTGAAGTATAAGTATTGGGTCATGCTTGAGAACACATGGGTGTGTAAAATACTATAATTTGATTTTCCACTTTGTTGTTATCAGTGATTGAATATTATTGTAATTTATCACATTTCCCAATCAGTAACATGTAATCCTTGTAGTATGTTGTGGAGACACATCATACTTAATGTTTTGTAGGCATATGCGGGCATTTGTATGGCACTCATTACACTTAGAACACTTATTACATTTATCTATTGTATTATCCATTTTATTTATCATTCTATACTACTTTGCCACTCTTTCAAGTGAAACTTCGTTCTAGTTAATGTACACAACAATGAATTGTCAGTAAGGTGAGGTGGAAACAGGGTGCAATGCAGTGGAGAGGGTGAGGTGTGGTTACTGGTGGTGGGAGGGTTGGGCGGTAGTGTAGGTAGGTCAGACAAAGCAATGTGGGTGGCGGTCACATGTGAGGCTAATGACTCCTCCCCATCCTCACCCTCCACACTCGTGAATCATGGTCCTGTAATGTGTGGCAGTGTGGCCGGCCTGACAGTTTTGCCAAATCATAGGCCTAGAGGTGCTTGGAAAAAATGCATAAAATCAAACTACTTGTGATACGTGTAATGTCACAAGGTACGTACTGGTAACGTTTAATCAAGGATATATCCATGATCGACGCCAGCCATCTCCTATTGTTTATCATGGATATATGTGATTGATGCCCAGCGAGTTAGAGGAAAACTTAATTTTTATATGAATGCAAAAGAAATATTTTTAAAAATTAATTTGACATATTGATCACTAAATTGAATTATTATTTTCTCTTACACTCTAAGCCAGAAGTAGAAAGTATGGAAGTCTCCTAGTTTTGCTCCTTGATATTTGTCAACTGTGCATAATGAAATGTTAGTGAATGGAAACAGCAGTTACTGTGTGTTAGTACTGTATATTCTTGCTCTTAAAACTTTTTCATACTTACTTCAGCTATTTTAATACAGTATGTGGCTTGTTTAAAAAAATTATGCTCTAAATGTCTGATTATGGCTTTAGCTAGTTTGTGTTATGTAAATTTGTATTTTGTACCTGTTTTCCCCACACGCATTTCAATATGTGTTTTATGTGTGTTGAGTCGGTGGCTTCTCTGCAGACTTACCCCCACTGCCTAGATCAGCTCCACCACTGGTCATGGCCCGGCCTCCTGTACCACCCAGTCGGGCCAGGTATGGTGAGCAGTCGTGGGTGAGTGGGCCACACCAGGCCAGCATGTCTCACCACGGTGGTGTACCTCACTACGGGCAGCAGATTGGTCACATGGTTAGCCACCACCACCAGGTAGCCCAGCACCATACAGGTCAAGGGGCTCACTTCTCCCAGGTGTCACGTGTTTCTCATCACCAGTATGCGTACACCTCACAGGGTCAGTCACTGCATCCTCCACCACCGTGCTTTGTCTTGGTTAATGTAGTTTCTAGGTGCTTTGTTTGAATGTTGTGCCTGTAACAATTGTTTGTCAAATGCTTATGCTGTAGTGAATGCTGCATATTACTTGAGAATATTATCCCATAATGTGATTTCCATGATTCATGAGGCTAAAAGTATTTGAATAAAATATCCTTTATATACCTGACAAAGTTTTGTAACAAGATATATGCAATTGGTCTTGTAGTTATTTACCCAACTAGGTCCACAATGTCCTCTACTTCATTTGTGACCATAGTAGTTAGAAACTACAAAAATAGTTCACCTTTTGACCATAGCTGGACACCTCATTGTATAAAAAGAAAATGGTTTTAAAGGGAATTGCATTTTGTTACTCAAAACAACAATCACTAGATTATGATGGTTTCCCATACCATTTTCATCTCTCACCTGACTGGAAATTAAAATATCTTTCAATTCTGGCATATGAAAACTTGGAGTTCAGTTAAATGCAGAGCCTACTAAAATTTGCATTCTACTCTTAGGATTCTTCAGTTACATTATGAAATTCAAATGTGTGTACAGTTGCACCCCGCTTAACGCGGTCAATTGAACTCACAGGGTACCGCGTTAAGTGAAAACCGCGCTAAGTGAACAACAGAACATATGGGATTAATTCCAATAGAGACTGGCCCGACCCCCAAACTCCACTTTTTGACGACACACAACTATGTTCTAGTAAAAATAACATCTTAATTTTATGATGGTACATGCACACAATTAATACTTAAGAGAAATAGAGAAATACAGTCGCCAAGTTAATGTTGACTCCCTCCCCCTCTTCTCACACTACACTGCTGGCTCTTCCCTCTCTTGAGAAATTTTTTGGGGGAAACCACTAGATTTTAATAAATAATACCTCAAACTAAAGTTAGGATAATATAATTGACATTGCTGGATTCCTTGTAAGACCAGGAATATTTTGAATATAAATGTCATATATTTTGCACAAAAGATAACATATTTACTCAGAGTAAACATTATATCTAAAATTTGTGTGTCTAATGCAAAATCTATGATGTTTATATTCAAAATGATCATCAAATTGTAAGAATTCCAGCAATGTAAATTATATTCTGGCCGGGTAATTTGTATGAATTTTATGAGCTAAATAAAAAATAAAAAATTATACTTCACTGCGTATATGAACCACGTTAAGTGAAAGTTCGGTTCTGGCGAGGCACCGCGTATATGAGAAATCGCGTTAAGTGAAACCGCGTTAAGCGGGGTACAACTGTATTTGTTACATGAACAATGGATTTCATTATTTAGGAATTTAAGGAAAGCAGTTGGTCTGCAAATAATTAGCTTCAGACAATTGAACCTTTTGAAGAAGTACGGTATATATTTTTGAGCTTATACCCAAAACAATTGTGCTTTCAAAATTTTGAGACCATTAAAAAATATTTTAACCTCAAAATTCTCCCAAGCACTTTTTATTAATATTAATTATCATGACATCTTGAAACAGTGACAGTAATTTGCTGAAAATGAAATGTCGTGATTAGACATAAGTTCATTCACATTTCAGCTTGAAAATTAACAAAGATAAACACTGCTTTTTGCCCCATATATCCAGTTTAGTCAGAATATTTGTCTATTAGGTCTTAGACATCGAAGATTTTAAGACAAGCTTCTTTATGATTATTACCAGGGTTCTTAAGTAAACGCTGCCATAATACATCTTGAGGACACATTACCTTAGAGGAGTCACTGTTTCATTAGCCTTCCGGAGTAGGAACCTCTCAAATCAGACTTTGGGTAAAACCTTCATTTTCCCATTACCTCATTGAAGGGATGAAACAGGCAAACTGTGTAATGCTGGGAGGTCTTTAATTTTGGAAATTTTATCCACTTCAATGCGACTCGCCACCTCCAGCTCTCGTCTTTCTTTGAATAAGAACACATAAAACTTAGATTATCTAAAAACACATTTATGAGTGAGGGTTTAGATCAACACCATCCAGATGGTAGTATTCTCAATACTGTGCAACTCCTGGTTAAAATGAAGCAGATTGCAGCTTCTCTTTATGAGAAAACCATCTAGTTCCAGTGATCTTTCTATCTTGAATGGCAATATCCAAATCAATTGAAACCACTTTCCTTTCAGAAGTGTGGGGTCAAGATGTGTGTTTGAAAGATAATTACAATGTACAGTCTAGCTACTGTTACTAACATGTGACATTGTACATCATGAACAAGCTTGGTTGTATAATACAAGACCATTTACTAGCCTTGGGTCTATAACTGGATCTCAGGATTAATTCCCAATTTATGTGATTAAACTATGAATATAAAGTAATAAATTCCTAGTTGCAAGTGCATTAGCAATATTTAGCTCAAAATATACTGTGAAATTTTAAGCAATTAATCACATAAGCTTACCTGTACAGTAGATAGTTATCAGAATGCCATATAAGATACTTATATCATTTGCATAATCTTGACAAAAATCTAATAATTTTTATTTAACCCCTTAGGTTCCACACACCATCCAGATGCAACAGATGGTGTACCAGGTAGTCGACAGGTAGGGCCAACAAAATATTCTTCATACTCTATAATAAGATATTATTCATCTGTAATTTCCTTGACAAGAATTTCCCCAGCTGATGGAGTGGATGTGATGGGCCCATCTCTGGCCCCCAATAAAACCAAATTGGATATAATAGTTATTTGAATTTTGTTACTTAACAATTCAAGTTTAAAATTTTCTTCAGTGCACCTCAACATGTTCACTATTAGTGGACTGCAGCACATCCAACCAATACTCCACTTCAGTCCAAGTGTTGGCCAATACATCCTTCATCACTTTCTGATGCCATCGGTTATCCTTGTATGAAGTGTTTCATGTCAGCAACTGGTGTCTGGAAAATATAAACCTCAACATACCCCTACAAAAAGAAGTCTAAGGGCATGGTATCAGAAGACTGTAGGGGCCAGGAGGTGGGCCCGTCACATCTACAGTAACCCATCTGCCAGGGAAATTCTCAAGGAAGTTACACACAACTCTTCCAACTGGGGGACCACAGAATTACCCAGCATGTCATGATAAATACCTCCTGTGATATTTGCTCAGCTAAGAAAAATGAGTGTATCGCCTTATTGTGCACGAGTCCACATCAAACATTAATTGGGTTACAGTATCATGAATGTATTCAGACCCCTATATTAGCACATTATGGTGGGTTAACTCATCAAATTCATCATGGACTTGTCATTAGGTTGTAAAGCTTGGACTATTTGTTTCTTTGTACTGTATGCATATAGGGGCAACCTCTTATGTATTGCTGATCATGATAGCTGCAGTTCACTTGAAGCATGAAGAATTGACTTTCTAAGGTTGCATTGAAATATCTCTTGGGCACTAGCAAGTTTCTTCAGGAACACCTGGACGTCCACTTTGAGACAAATCAGTCACATTTCCTATCTCCTGAACCTTGTGAACACACCTTTACATATAGAGCAGGGGTGGAGCCAGGCTTTTATGAGGGAGGTTTCAGGTTATGGGTGAATGGAAATACAGTCCAAAGAAAGAGTAACAGAAAAAGGTGGAAAATTTTGCTTGTAAAATTTTTACATTTTCTTTGAATTCTATTAACAAGTAAAGTAATAAAATCAAGTGCAATTTATGATGGTTGTTTATTGACAATATATGACTTCCACAGATTGACAACACAATATAGCATGGCAGGGGTATAGTAAAAAATCACATCTTATTAAATACCTTAAACAGCGTAAAGTAATGAAACAAAGTTTGTGGTCATACTGCCTCGAGAGCGACTACTGGATCATTGATCTTTCTCACATATTCACCACAACTTGGTTTTGTGAGTGGCATGTTTGGTTTTAGTACTTTATACATGAACTCATTGTTTTTAACCACTCTTATTACTGTCAATAATTTCCATGGCAGAAGGCATGTGAGTCGGCCAGCCAGGCAATTGCCTTGCCAATGGCATCGTAATTCTCACACACAGGAATAGTCAAAGGTACCAGCTTACTGCACCTACAGTAGGGTCAAAGTCAACCTCGAGTGACAATCATGTCAGAAAGTGACCTGTGGGAACAGTAAGAATCAAACTTCATAAAAATCTCATGTTTCTGTTACTGATTATGCAATAATTATGAGAAGAAACCCCACAATGGTGGACGAAATGCTTATTCCCAACTCTTCCGTGGAGTTTCAGACAAGGACCGGTACATTCATCAATATATCTGCTCATTATATACAATGCATATGAGATCACCTTGCCTCACTCCCATCTCCTCCTGCCTCATTCCCATCTCCTGACCCATTGCTGCAGTGGTCACCTCTGATTAATTCAGGTGGAAGAGACCTGACCACCAAGGCTTTCATCACAGGATCCAGCTTGATCATGTCCTCATTCAATTTAAAAAAAATTTATTTTTGTATACAGACTGATTCTATGATCCTACATTTCTTAAAATCCTTGCACTTCTAAAACAATTGGCTTGCATTCCAGTCTATTCCATGGTTATTTTTAAATACATGAATAAATAATGCATTATTATTATTCCGTCTTAAAGGTATGCTTATGTTCTTTAATGCATCATAAACTAAGCCACAATCCTTTCATGGAATTTTGCACACACCTGCTGTTGAATTACTGATACCGTAGTTCTATTCCTTACCAGCATGGATCTAAAAATGAAAGTACATCTAAAGGCAATACAGGTATCCCTTGAGATATGAATGGGTTTGGATCGAAAAAAGTAAATTTTCCTATCCCGAATAAAAGAACATATGGGAAAAATAGGGTTTGGTTCTCCGATGACAAAAATACCCCAATACCATAATCCAAAAACACTAAATTGGTTCACAAAGAACATTACCTTGAGGGAGGACATAACACGTGGGAGGTTTGCATGTGGAAGAACTTATTCTTTGTACTATCGTGGACAAAAGTTCGCTCCTTCCCAAACTGAAGCAGTATCGCCCGCTCAGCACACCCGCACCAGATAACAATCAGGGTAAGTCAGTTCAGAGACTCATTCCCGTGTCTCAGTTTCACTACAGGGAGCGAACTTTTGTCCACGACAGTACATAAAATAATATACTGTACTGCACACTGTATAATAATACCCAGGTTAGCACTATCCCTTAGAGTGCTATTTCTTTATAGCAATCTTCTTTATATCTTGGGGGCCCTAGGAAATAAGAAAATATAGTCAAAAGTCACAAGTCCAAACACTACCAATATGCCAAAAGCAGCTCTCTGATTTTACTCATTCGTCCAATCAGCGCCAAGTACTTTCTGTTTACCTTCCAATGTACCCACACACACACACACCTACCTTCCAACACCACACACACACACACACACCTTCCATCACCACTCACACACACACCTTCCATCACCACTCACACACACACACACCCTTCCACACACCGCCCACACACACACACACTTCCAACACAGCCCACACACATTCCAACACCGCCCACACACACCTTCCACACACACAACACCCCCACACCTTCCAACACCGCCCCACACCCCAACACCACTTCCAACACCAGCCCACACCCACCCACCTTCCAACACCGCCCAGCACACACCCACCCACCACCACCACCTTCCAACACCCACCTTCAACACCGCCCACACCACCCACCTTCCAACACCGCCCACACCCACCCACCTTCCACCGCCCACACCACCCCACCTTCCAACACCGCCCCACACCCACCCACCTTCCAACACCGCCCCACACCCACCCACCTTCCAACACCGCCCACACCCACCCACCTTCCAACACGCCCACACCCACCCACCTTCCAACACCGCCCACCCCACCCACCTTCCAACACCCCACACCCACCCACCTTCCAACACCGCCCCACACCCCCCCACCACCACCTTCCAACACCGCCCACACCCCCCACCTTCCAACACCGCACCCACCCACCCACCTTCCAACACCGCCCACACCCACCCACCTTCCAACACCGCCCACACCCACCCACCTTCCAACACCCCACACCCACCCACCTTCCACCACCACACCCACCCACCTTCCAACACCCCACACCCACCCACCTCCAACACCACCCACACCCACCCACCTTCCAACACCGCCCACACCCACCCACCTTCCAACACCCACACCCACCCACCTTCCAACACCGCCCACACCCACCACCTTCCAACACCCCACACCCACCCACCTTCCAACACCGCCCACACCCACCCACCTTCCAACACCGCCCACACCCACCCACCTTCCAACACCCCCCCCACACACACACACACACACACATACCCCTACCTTCCAACACCCCACTCCACACACACACACCTTCCAACACCGCCCCCACACACACACACACACACACACCTTCCAACACCTCCGCCCCACACACACACACACCAAACACCGCCCTCCCCACACACACACACCTTCAAACATCGCCCTCCCACACACACACACCTTCAAACATCGCCTCCCACACACATATATTCTGAAACCGAAAAATACATGAAAACCGAAATGCCTCTGGCCCCAAGGATTTCGGATAAAGGATTGTCAACCTGTGTGTGTGTGTGTGTGTGTATATATACACCCTCAAGCACGCGTTTCGCTTTAGCCGACTTCATGTATATACGCCAGCCGCCAGAGCCGTAACTTTCACTTAACGCAGGTTTCCACGCATAACGCGACAGTATACGCCAAGAAAGGTCCAGCTGGAGATGCTATTTTTAGTTCTCCCCACTGGCCACCCACCTGCCTGCCTGCCTGCCTGCCTGCTTGCCTGTTTTAGCTCATAAAATTCATACAAATTACTTCTGACCAGAATTTACATTGCTGGAATTCTTACAATATGATGATCATTTTGAATATAAACATCATAGATTTTGCATTAGACATACAAATTTTAGATATAATGTTTAATCTGAGTAAATATGTTATTTTGTGCAAAATATATGACATTTGTATTCAAAATATTCCTGGTCTTACAAAGAATCCAGCAATGTCAATTATATTATCCTAACTTTAGTTTGAGGTATTATTTATTACTAAAAATGTAAATATTCTTGTCTCTCACACATCTGGTAGGAGGACCAACCGACCATCTGTTATGTGTGAAGAATATTTATTTTTTAACTGAAGATATTTGGTTTAGCATTAAAATTCATACAAATTACCGGTCAGAATATAATTTACATTGCTGGAATTCTTACAATTTGATGATCATTTTGAATATAAACATCATAGATTTTGCATTAGACATACAAATTTTAGATATAATGTTTACTCTGAGTAAATATGTTATCTTTCGTGCAAAATATATGACATTTATATTCAAAATATTCCTGTCTTACAAGGAATCCAGCAATGTCAATTATATTATCCTAACTTTAATCTGAGGTATTATTTAATACTAAATGTTAAAATTTAGTTTTTTCACCCAACATCTCTTGAAGGGAGGGTTGTGTGGAGGGTGTGGGACGGACTGCGCGGTTGGAAGAGGGGAGGCAAGGTGGGGTACTTTGTCTGACAGAT